AAGACAGAGCTTATCTTGGCTGGTGACTTGGAAGTGAACGGACAGAAAACAATGATGGCGACCTACAACGCGAAGAAGAATAAACAGACGTTCGCGAGCTACCCGGGAGCTGGATCTCTACCCGGTTCGATCAGCGTACTCGCACCCGCTAACAGTGGTTACGATGAGTTTTGGGCGGCCGGCGTGGACTCTAACGACAACTCGGCTTTTCTATCGCACTACGCAGATGGCTCCTGGGCTCGTGTCAACGGACTTAGTGCCGGCACAGACATCCGTGGTCTCCAGGTCATGAGTCTTACGTCGGACCACGATTCCACCCGCGACATCCCTAACAATGAAGTCTTGATGCTTGTCGGCAACCTCAACATCCCAAACTACGGCAACGCCAGCGCCGCTCTCTTCAACGGCACCGACTTCCAGCCATTCATCCTCACCAACAAGCAAGACGGAAGTCAAGGCACAATAGCTCATATGTTCGTCAGCAATCCCTCAGCATTGATGAGCATGGGAGGCGGCCACCTAGCCATCGGCTTCGTCGTCCTCATCGGTCTCGCCATCGCTCTTGGTCTCATCTTCCTCATCGTGGTCTGCGGCATCCTTATCGAGCGAGCGCGTCGGAGGCGCGAAGGCTACGTCCCAATGAAGGCCGATAGGAACGGCAACTTGGACCGCATCCCACCCGAAACATTACTTGGAGGTATCCACGGCGACAAGGCTACTGCGCCAAAAGTATGAGAGCGAAGCTTTGGGTACTCAGAATTGAGTCTTGTTTAACGAATGTCTGGCACGGCCATCACGACCACTCTCTTACGACTTCAGCATTGAGATGGCACTTTCCGTGCGTTTGCAGGGCGTTTTTGGGGGTACACTGGGTGTATCTGGGAAAAACGCAATATACCACTTCTTGTCGATCCTTTACGCTCCAGCGACTGGGATTGGATAGATCGGGCGTTCTTGGGTTGTCTTGTGTGCAGAAGCAGGAGATGTGAGTGGTCAGCTGCAGGCTGCCTCTTCCGGGCTCTGCTGTTAGGATACATGTATGGCATCGTTAATTGCAGCTTTAATGTGTACTGCGGGAGGAAATGTGGATACGGTAGTGCCACGGAGCACTTTTCGTTTGTTTGAGGAGGGCTGTGGGTAGAGTAGTAGGTAGATGGTCGATAGCAGGAAATGGACAGTGCTCAAAAGTAGCCACATTGATGTAGAGTTCTCGTCGTGTCTCCACAACGAATCCGGTGCCCTCTCCTCTCCTCGACCGACGCCACTGCTCGCCGGAGATTCAAATCTACCACCACCCCTGCGATCGCCTTACCGAGACCAAGCTTTGGCCAAGGGGCTTTCAATCTATTTGAACCGTGCTAACATCGACCACATCACCCTTCTCGAAAGCGACATTTCTTGAAACTTGCATTTGGTCTCCACCACTGCCACTGAACCACAGTTGCTGCCGCCGGGAGAATGCCATATCGAGCATGTGGAACTGCAGGCGGTCTAGATCGATCGCTTTGACAGAAAGCTTAACTTAGGTGATCGATGGCTTGATCGCTTTCTTCCTTGCTCGCATCTGTGCAGCCGCCAGTTGTGGATATGGAAGGACGTTGAAACGGGGGACGGCACGTTGTGCTCACATGGCACGCGTACGCAACGTCTGTCGCCGGTATAAGGTCTGAAGGGTGTCCCCGTCGGAGGATTCTCTTTCATACAGCAAGTCGCTCTCTTTTCCACAGGCTTAGGTACTCACGACACTCATTCAATCTTTTTCGTTACGTCTTTGACAGGCCTTCCATTCCATCGCCAACATGTACGCTTCGATTCTCCTTCTGGCGGCGGCGGCTTCGACAGCTGTCGCCCAGTCGGCTGCCTACGCCCAGTGCGGCGGTACAGGCTTCAAGGGCTCTACTACTTGTGTGAGCGGCTACAAGTGCCAGGTTTCGAACGCCTACTACTCGCAATGCGTGCCAGGTAGCAACGGTATGTGGGAGCCGACAACCTGACCTACAACTCAGGTTCTGACAGTTCGAAGGCGGGAGCAAGCCAACCCCAGCCACAACCGCGAAGTCCTCGCCGACCGCCGGCTCAGGTGGAAGCGGCAGTGGCAGTGGTTCATCCTCGGGTGGCGGATACAAGGCCTCCTTCACCCAATACGGTGCTGGCGATACCTTCGGCAGCGGGAATTGCAACACAGCGACAACCGCCTGCGGCTTCTACACCAAGCCCGGCTACGCTGCTGCTGTCTCTCAGAACGAATTCGGTGTCGGACCCGTACGTGACACACTGCCCTCCCTCAAACTCTCCCGCTAACGCATAGGACAGGGTGCCGGCGCCGGTCCAGCCTGCGGAACATGCTGGAAACTCACCATAGAAACAGACAGCAGCGGCAAGACCGTCGCAAACGCGGGCAAGAGCATTGTCGTCCAGGTCACCAACCTCTGCCCTGCATCGGGTAATCCGCTGTGTTCTCAGAACGGCTTGTCAGGCACAAACCAGTACGGCGCCAACCTCAACTTCGACCTGTGCATTGATTCTGGCGCCAGCGCGGCGCTGTTCGGAAGTGATGGGATTGGACTTGGTGTTGGCACGGCACAGGCGGTCAGCTGTAGTCAGTGGAGTGGGAGTGTGGTGCACTAGAAGGTACGAGCGATTTTGACCTACGGATCGGATCCGAGGTGGCGGTTGCGCCCCGAATTGGCCATAGAGGTTGTTTCCAGCAGCATCGGAGGGATCATTGTTGCTACTACATGGAGGACTTACGCCCTGGGGAACTCGCCCTTCCCTCCATAGTTCTTCATCCGTGCTTGGGTCGCGCTCACCAATCGCATGGAGCTTACTACTGCCGTCTTTGGGGTCCTTGCCGTTTTGGGAGTCCTTGACGGCTCAGATGTCTTCGACGTCTCGTGGTCTGCTTAACGTCTGTGGTGTCCTTGCCGTCTTGATCTGAAGGCGACTAAGGTGATGTTGTCTTAGCTGCACACGCATCTCCTCTCATGTGAGACCTCTTTCTTCAAAACTACTTAGATGACTACTTCGTATTTCCGACACAATGGTTCTTGCTCCACGGTGACGTCTGGCAAAACATGTTCACGCCTGATTCTCTTCTCCGAGATAAATTTTTTCTGTGCTCACGTTTTTGCGCCTATATTCATTTCAAACTGCAGTCTTGATTATGGGGAACAGGCCAGAGCTGTGCCGACTCACAGACCAGCAATCTCGCGCCCTCTCCGAGATCAGTTTGATACACTCATGTTCGCACGCCTATGGCCATAACACGGCATGTCTTGTTTCGATCAATTCAGCCATATCACCATCAAGACTGCGACCTTTGTTCTTCTGCACCTGTCTCGAAGTCGCGTAGGAACCGCCACGTCCCTTCCTGCTTCCATTGCTTCTGACTCCATCCGTTTGCCGTCTTGGGAAAGAACTCGACAACGTCAAAGAGGCTCGTGTCGTGTGCAATGTTGACGAAGACGTTGTTCTGAGCGTCGAAATCGGCAAGCTTATCGATGCTCGCCTTCGTTTCCTGTGCATCCTTATGCACTCCGTTGCTCGCAGGCACATAGAACGGCTCTGTTTTCGATTGCTTCGGGTGTATAGCTTCGAACATCGAACCTGGGCACATTGGAGCCTGCTTGGAGTAAGGCGCAGCCAGTGGGCTCGGCACAATGTTCTCTGGCAGAGGGAGGAACTTCGTAGGTCTGAACTCGCCGCCATGATGAGCGATGTCTCCACCTAGGCCACGAGAACGAAGCGTCAACTGTGGGTATCACAGTTTGCTCTTAGGTGTATACGTACCCATAAAGATGAACTCTGGAGGTTCAGCAGACGTCCTGGCAAGACCGCACATATGTCCAATTGCGTGTCCAGGTGTGTCGAGGAGGTAAAAGCTGCCATCGCCATAGAGGTCCATGGCCTTGTACTGCCCGATTGTCAAACCTTGGCCTTCGGTATCGAACTTGATCTCGCGGAGATTTCGGCCTTCCCATGCCCGCTCGTCGACGGGGGAGTCCTGAACAGTTGGATAGGCCGGGACGTACGCATCCTTGAAACCTGGCCCAACAATGAGATCCGTGGATGCTGGGAATGTCGAAGGGTCCCCGGTATGGTCCTGAGAGTTCCGATCAACCATTGTTTCATTGATTAGCTGCAGGATAGATGCTTACAAAGTGCCAATGTGACCACACGATAGCTCCAACTCCGTCGGGATCCTCGCCGTTGTCTTTCAGTATCTCACCGACGTTCTTGTCGACTTTAATAGTGACGCTGGGATCGTCTAGCATGTCATGGAGGACCTTTGGAGCGTTCTCTATATCCTTCCTCACGCCGAGGTCGAACAGTAGGGTGTCGTACTTCGACTCAGCATTAGGGTTGCTGTGCTTGACGAGGAAAGCGTAGCATGCTGCGTGTAACTTCTCATTTCCGAGCATGGGCGGTTCTACAAACTTGGAGGCCGAGATGCCAATGAAGGCGGTTGTGTCGATGACCGAGACCATGACTGTGTTCTTTGAATGTGGGATATGGAGATCTGGTGGTGGTATTGCTTGAGCCATGATGGCGATGTACTGTCTTTCCTTCAACAGACGATCGTTGCCATTGAGAATTGTTGCTGTAGTATGAGACACTGCTTACAAATTGTGCTCTGTAATATACAGTCCCGCATGTTCCGGAAAAGAGAGCTTCGGTATGCCGGTCGTGGAGGAGCTTCGGACTCGCATACCGTTCAAGAGCTTCGTTCTCCGCAGCTCCAAAGGTTGTCGGACTTGACATGTACCTAACAAGTGTCATTGAGCAACGGGAAGACAGACTGGATAAGGGGGTCAATTCGATTCTGGAATCGTTGAGCATACTGTACTTGCGCGATTCCTAACGGAACAATACACAAACGAACTGATGGCGTCGTCTGTGAGATGAATTGCATGAGAAAAATCCCCAAAAAAATCTCAACGTTAGCATTGATACCTGCACATACAGAACACAATATTGAACAGTACACAAGCAAAAGAGGACTCCCCCGGGTGGGCTTGAACCACCAACCTTCCGGTCACATTTGCTGGTAGTTTGCTAACAGCCGAACGCGCTAGCCAATTGCGCTGAATCAATGTTAGTTGATGATCAACGAGTGATGAGAGTGGATGTAACGACTTACCCACAGGGGATGTTGAGCTGTTGCACTCAACTGGACCCGGATTTCGATGTAACTGTACATATTCAGTGCGTTGAGAGGCCGAGCTTTAGCCGCCGGACCTGACGCCGCTCATAAGCCAGTTGTACGAAACTCGACTCCAATTCTGCAGCTCGAAGACACATCTACCTTGGCACTCACATATGTTCAACAAAGCCCTGGTTGGGGAGTGGTGCTGAAGTGTTTTTTACGATCAAACACGTTTCAGGACGAAATGACGTCGAGGTGAAGTCGAGAACTCATAAACCCTGTGATTGGCTCGGCTAGACGGACGCTAGCGGATGTACCCGTTTCCAAGTTGGTGGTTCAAGCCCACTCGCTCTCAACAATACATGTACCTTGACTTCAACGCCAGGTCACGGCTGGAGACTCTCGTATGTAACTCACCTTCCGAAACTTGCACTACAGTTGTTGAGAAGGGCAGCTAGACGGTGTCAGGAACGAGGAAATGGCTGGGCTCGTCTCTAGGTCTATGCATATTTGATTATGTACAATGTCACCTATGGCCGCGGCAAAGCCGATTGAACAAAAAGCCTCCCAAGTCCTATAGCAATGGGTTTGATCGATACTCCGGGACGTCACCGTTGGTCTGAGGCTTGCCCTTCTTCACCTCGCTGTCTCCCTCGGGTCCGTCTTGCGCGATCTCTTGTTCGGCAAGCCACTTCTCTGCTTCGAGTGCGGCCATACATCCGGAACCTGTTGACTGTATTAGCTCGAGTCCTGCATTTCAGAAAAGGGGAGGGCAGACTAACCTGCTGAAGTAACAGCCTGCCGATACTTCTTATCCTGAACATCACCCGCAGCAAACACACCAGCGACATTCGTCTCGGTCGTACCGGGCGTAGTAATGAGATAGCCATCCTCATCCATCTTGAGCTGGTCCTTGAACAGGAAAGTCGCCGGCTCGTGGCCAACAGCATAGAAAAGCCCATTCGCAGGTATCTCTTCCGTCTTGCCAGTCTTGTTGTCCTTGATAACCATACTCTTCATCAGCCCCCGCGGGCCCTCATCACCCTTGATCTCCGCACCACTCGTGTTGTACCGGATCTCGATCTTCGGATTCGTCGACAGCCGCCTCGCGTTGATTTTGCTGGCCCGAAGTACATCCCTCCGTACCAGAACTGTGACTTTCGATGCCTTCTTCGCCAGATACAGCGACTCCTCCACCGCACTGTCGCCGCCTCCAATCACCACTAGCGGCTTCTCGCGGAATATAGGCAATGACCCATCACAGACTGCACAAGCCGACACACCATTACCCCAGTACTTGTCCTCGCCCGGTAGATCGAGCCTCCGTGCTTTCGCGCCTGTAGCTATTATAATGCTGTCCGCCGTATGTGTCTCTTCTTCCAAGTTCTCCTCGTCGCCCATAGGATTTAGCCAGTACTTGTACGGCCTCTGCGACAAATCCACCTTGCCCACCGTCTGCGTCACAATCTCCGTCCCACACGCCTCCGACTGCGCACGCATCTCGTCCATAAGCGTCGCCCCCTTGATCATCTTGAAGCCTGGGTAATTCTCCACTTCATCGGTCGTGGTGAGCTGTCCTCCTGCCGCGATTCCGAGCGCAAGGAAGCCTTCGTACATGACTGGGCTCAGATCTGCTCGTGAGGCGTATATTGCCGCTGTGTGACCAGCCGGGCCGGAGCCGATGATGACCAGCTTGGAGTGCATTCTGCGGGTTTGCTGGAGGGTGGCGGAGGTGGAGAGGGCCGGGGCGGCCGCGGGCGCGAAGAGGGAGGCGCTGTTGTTCGCTGGTCGGTAGAGCGATGCAGCTGCGACGAAGGGAATGGAGATACTGGAGCGGAGAGGTGTGCCTGCGCGGCGGAAGGCGTTGGCGAACAGCGTGGCGAGTGCTCTGATGTGGTATTGAGTGTAGTTGTAGTTGAGATTGAGAGTTGAGGAGAGTTTTTGAAGTTATAGTCCGATGCACGTCAGAGGGTTCTCGAAAAAGGTGGATGATATGTCAGAGGGAGTGATGGCTAACAGCCAATGCTTTCGTTTATATGATTTCTAAGAACGAGGCGATGTCGGTCACATGGAAATTTTGGAAATTTTGGAATAATTTCGAGCCGCAGCAATTGGGAGACGAGGACATCTCAAACCACATCAAAGACGAGTGATATCTTGTCAAACGAGCCGTGCAGGCACTATCAATGCATACGGTTGTACCTCCGATACATATAGACTTCGATGCTACTTTCTTATCGGTCTTGGTTACACAGGCAGAACGCCGTGTGGGAGGGATATCATCCTTCTCGGCAACGCCGACTGCAGTCGTCGATCGAAGTGGAAAGCGCACTTCAGATCTACGAGATCGTGGAGATGGAGAACGAAACGAGACTCTGGAGCACGCTAGGCCGATCACTTATATAAAGCGCTGCAGGCCCAGGTGAGGGAGGGGCGGTGTTCTCCGCGTTGTGATCCGCGGCGTTTGGAATAGCAGAGAGTGCCGTGGCAGCATCGTGGTTCGGACGGTGGAGAAGGCGATGTCTTCCATCTCTGTATCTCGTCTACCTACATGCCGTTCCTTCGACTCAACACCATAACGCCGCGCTAAACGTAATCATCGTCCACTCCAGGTGAGTGTCGCCCACTCAGTACCGTCTACTCGGAAACCCGCCCCTCCGCCCCCTCCTCCCGCGTCCTGCCCACCGACCCATCCCTCCTTCACCCCTCTCATGCCTCTCCCTCCGCCTCTCTTCTTCAGCATAGAACTCCTCCTCCCGCTCCTCTTGCTCTCTCCTCGCAACCTCCGGATCCTTTTCCCTCCTCACCTCCGGCTTCGAAGGATGCATATCCTCATCTTTGACCCACTTCGCATGCGCTCCAAACTCACAGCTCACCACCTTGTCCGCCTCCGGTGGATGCGATCTTCCATTCGGACAGAATCCAGCCAGGTAGAATAGACACATCTTCGGGTGCTTGATATGCCGTAACGCGCAGTACGGGCCAAGCGGACAGAATCCACGAGCATACTGCGGACATGCGGGCAGCCGTAGAGGACTGGTAGGCGGAATGTGCAGGTACGTGCAGTCGTCGCCTTGCGGACATAAACCGTACTTGGAGAACTCTTTGCACTCGCGCTCGTCTCGGAGGTTGAAGGTGTGCGCGAACTCGCAGGCGTCGCCCTTCTTGCAGAGACCGCGCTGGTAGTGCTTGCAGATAAGGTGTCCTATGCCCGATCGTTCTTCCTTGGGGACATAATGGCGGTCTGCGCAGTGTGGACCTCGAGGGCAGTGGCCTTTTATGAAGTCTGAGCAGATCGGGCGAGCTACTTTCGAGGGCGCGCCGAGGGTTGGAAGAGTATGTTTGAGGTAGTTGTCGAAGGTGAAGATGGGTGTTGTTTGTGATTGCGGGTGGAGTATTTGGTCGGGCAAGGAGGGTTGCGTATCTGCGGAAGCCATGGTGGTGGTGGAGGGAAAGATCCAGTCCGCCTGGATGTATCTGATGTGTGGTTGTTTCTTAGATGTGTCGAGTTGATTATGTCCGCGATCTTCAATCTGGAGCACATGCGAGCTAGGTTTAAGCTTCTTGCTAGTGGCTTCTACGATTACTTGACTTCCTTGTGGTTGAAGACGTTCTTTCCTCCACCCACCACTCCCAGAACACAAGGAAGGCGCGATCGAGTTTGCATTCACCTCGCCTCAACCTCCATACCAGCTGCCAGCCGCGGTGCTTTCACCACTGCTTTGCGATCAGCAGCAGCCTCTTTGCTCACTGCTGGCAGATCTAGCTAGCGTCATCGCGGCCTTTGCCGACAACCTTGCTGCGAAGTTGCGAAGCGTATGTCACCGGTCATCACACCTCCATAACAGCACCTGGACAGCTATTCGTCTGACTGCTGGCGGTCGCCACATTCGCTTCACCCACGAACCCATCCCCCTTCTCTTGGTATCTCGAGAGTTGCACGAGCGCGGCACGGCTTGTGATTGTAACCGCGCGCAATGAATGAAGGCAGCGCCTTCGAGCCTCAGCCACACTTTCCCACCTATAGATGACCCTCGAGCTCTGACTTGAAATCGAGGACGAACACAAGTGAAGATGGTGTCCGATAAGATATATGAGATATGCCGAGCGACGTTGGAGAATGCAGAGATTGAGGAGGAGGACAAGATAGACCAGCTGGAGGAGCTACTGAGTGCCGCGCCGACCTCACTAAAGGGCAAAGCACTTGAAGATGCCGTACTTGGGTCTCTGTGGCAGTGGAAGAGCGCATCAGACAAGAAGGCGACGCCACCACCCGTGCGGAGCGTTGCGGTCGTAAGGTCGAGGTCCCCAGCGCCATGGTTGCAAAGATCCGGCACGCCAACATCAACGAATGCGTCTCCGCGACCTTCGAGCGCGGGTCTATCAGCCCCACCTGGACTGTTGTCTCGGACAAAATCCTCGACACAGTCGCCGTTCCAATCTCCGCGAGCGTCACCACGTCTACCAGTGGCAACCCCGGTCATTCCTCATAGCCCGAGACTGAGCGCGTACCAGTTCAACGAGTCCTCGGCGACGACAGAGAATTATGGAGACTATGGCAGCGATACCGTGGATTGGCTGGTCAACGACGATGCGAGCAGTAACACCAGCTTTGGAGATGCTGGATTTAGTGAATTCATGTCTCCGTACACTTCCGAAATGAGCCCGTACGACATGCTGCGATACATTCTACAAGACAATAGAAGTGACGATGAATTGGAGCAGCTGTTGGAGGCAAATGGCTTCGACCTTGGACAAACAGTCAACTCCGTTATGGAAGTACAAGGAGCCGGCCTCAATACTATGGCTACTGCCATACCTGAGCAGAACCGAACTTATCTCGTTGGCAAGAGCATGTCGCCATCTTCGCGTCCAGCTACTCCTGCGGGACAACAGAAGTCGCCTATCGTCTGCCGCTACTGGCTGGCAACCGGCCACTGCG